TTAGTGTTGATGGGGGACAATCAATCTGCTACTTCAATCTACCAGCGTGACTATAAGTCTTAAATTCATCTAAAATGTAGTCTGCTACACAGCCGTTCTTAGGGTCGTCACGCAACGCTCCTCCCATGTTCGTAGGGAGGCGCGTTGCGTGACGACCCTAAGAACGGCTGTGTAGTAGACTACCTAAAATGTCGCGGTTAGTGGGAGGACAATAAATCTACTAGTCCAACATACTAATGTGACTATAACTTTTACATTCACTTAAAACGTCTACCACTCGTTATATGTTGGTACACTGCTTATTATACGCTAAATCTCATACATTCATCACTGACAAAGTGTATGTTACATGTAGCATAAACAAATGTTATTATGGGTCACCCGACGTTCATGATTTTTATGTTGCTAGTTAGTGACGTTACGAGCTCTTATACCGTCAACATCGAGTAAATTCAATTCCAGTTCCCCTTGGATCAACCCGTGAGCTCCCTGCCAGATCGTGTCAGGAAATCAAGGCAAGTGAAGGAGGACAGGCAGTCAGCGGTAATTATTGGCTGGACTCTACCAGATCTGGGAACTCTATTTTAGCTCGCTGTGACATGAGGACAGAAGGTAAGTACAAGAAATGATCCTGAGCATTTTGGCGCCGTGCCAATGAGAGGCCTTAGTTCTCTTTCTAAATAGTTGCAGACTACTGTGTCAAGCATAGATGCCAAAACGATGCAAAATGTGTGAACCAGGAAACGAACTACTCGTGTACGTGTAACTCATCTGGTTGGACAGGAACATTTTGTGAAAAAGGTTTGCCTTTTGTTGAGATATTCCTGCTTAAGTTTATGCTGCATTAATAAATTGGAGGAGTGATACCAATTTCACATCTGCTTATCCATAGATGTCAACGAATGCAAGGAAGGTCTGAATAGATGTCATGCTAACGCCACTTGTTACAACACTGAGGGATCCTACAATTGTTCATGTAAAACAGAATTTCTTGGAGACGGAAGAAATTACTGCAAAGCTATGACTCACGGTATCTTGTCCTGTAGAGAATTTGTCTGAGGATAAGCTAGAAATGTTTGCCAAAACTGAGCACAATTACAGCACCAGTATTATAATTTTCATTATCATTATTATCGTTGTCGTTGTCGTCCTTCGTCATTTTCAACATCTTTATCAGCGTTACCTTGCTCCCTTTTCTTGGCAAGGGATGAAAGTGGGTATCCACCAAGATTGATGTGCCTTCCTGGGCAGCAAACAAGATAACACTTTTGGCCTCATCTTGGCATGTGCGGAGCTAGCCGCATAATGATTACAAGAGTAGAAACCTCTCATTTTACCACAATTGGCAGTAATGTCGCAATATGATCGGCCAATTTTCCGTTGTCGGTAAGAGTTCAGACAACGCTGCTCGCGTCAACTTCTCGCGCAACGTGTCACACAATAAAATCGTTTGATGCCTGTATTTTGGTAAAAAACAAATTTTCAGTGGTTTAGCGTAATCTGTACTCTAATCGGCTACGACATTGTGGTAACTGTGATGCAGTGGTAATTGTGATGACGAATATCGTTGTCCATAAGAGTACAGCCCACGCCGTAAACCAATAACGATTTGTTAAGTTTATGTATCTATCAACTATAAGGAAAAGAACATGGCCTGGTACGGTGTACTGAGTTACAAGGTTTCACCTTTAATGCGATTGTATGATTGATGTATAGGATAAACAAGTAAAGATCAGCGCCTCCTTTTTTTCAAAGTAAGGAACAGAACTGAAGAAAGCAAAAACGAATACATTACACAAGCTCAATGAAAATGTAATAAAAAAAATTAAATATAATTTTACGATTTTAATCAGACAGTTTTAATTTCTTTCCAATAGATTATGACTGCTGGCGCAGCCAATCCAAAAGTCCAAGTCGGAACTGGGGCTACTATTCTAAAATCGACGCAATCGATTTACAAACAAGAGTAGCGTCACCCTGCTGGGATACCGTCTGTGGGGAGTCAATAGCGGTTCAACCACTTTCCAGGTCACCATCCGATTGTATCGTGGAAGTTCCTTGATCGCAGACTAACAACTGGATCCTACTACACCACATCCTCAGTTAAGGCGTTTGAAGTTCGTTTTTATTCCGGGATTTCTCTTCGTGCAGGTGTAGTATACACAGCAACATCTAAACTAACCACCAGCGGTCGTCACACTCATGCTCACAAGGATAGAATGTCAAGTGCTTCATGTTCTGGTATCACCGTTACGCTTATGCATTCTTCCAAAGATAATAACGGATCAGGTGTATCCGGTGTCCAAATACCAGTGCTGATCCTCCGTTCCAGTCACTGCTAAAAGAAAATTCAGGTGAGTGGAACCCGGTTAATAAGGACACCAAGGGGACATGCCATAATTTCCGTATTATCCGGGTGTCCGTATTAAGCCGGCTCTCAGAGAAAACGTCAGGGAAACGTGTGTTATCGATATAAAGACGAAAGAAGACAGTTTTTCGAGAAAACGTTTAATTTCTTAACTGTAACAGTAACAAGTTCATCCTAAAGAAACCTCACGATCATTTATCATAGCCTCAGAGTAAAATCTTTTAAATTTTGTAGAAAAAAAAAAGTACATGTATGTTATCGAAACAGGCATGACAGTGGATTCATTTTAAAAAGTCTTTGACTTTACTTTGTACTGACGCTTTTAGTTTGCGACTCATGCCCAGCCAAGTGGACTGAACATTAGACAAAACCTTTGAAAGGTCATTCGCAAACAACGTCAAAGAGGAGGAAGGTTAAGAGCAATGACTGTAATAAAAAGCCAAGGAAGTGAAACGTTTGTAACAGGAGGCAGAAAACTGTAATAAACAACTACTCAATACAGGAGTCAAACGCCGGAAGAAAGAGAGACTGTTTATAATCAAAGATGTCACGCTACTTCGTTACTGTTTTGAGTGCAGAACTGTAATAAAATTGTATTCACCCGTAAACATCTGTCATTGTTTGAACAGGGTACAATGTCTACAATTGTCACATAATTGTGACAATGAAAATAGACAGTGTGCAGATAACCAGTGTCTGTAAAGCAGGGTTGACAATATATAAGAGTTTGTGACTCGGGACACAGAAAAATGTCCGTTGTCCGTATTATCCGGTGTCCGTATAAAGCAGGTTAATTTTAGAGAAAATATACGAGTTTTTTGTCGGGACAAACGAAACTGTCCGTATTAAGCGGGTGTCATTAGAGCGGGGTTCCACTGCATCTGTAAGCCGTTGAACAGGGATTTAAAATAAGATTGTTCTAAGATCAAAATAATAGTTGTAGGCCTTCATCCTCATTCGGGCTTAATTTTAAAACTTTTCAACCATATCACTGATCTTTATTCTAATTACATCCGTTGATCTGAAGCGTTATTAAATTGCGTGTTACTTTCGTGATCAATTAACCATTTGTCGTGTAACTGGTTTTGGAAACCTCGAGGCATCAAAAATAAGAGTAATTTTAACAATCGTTTTGTTATTGATTACAGCTCGTCTTGAAAACTATACAAATTTTGTGCGGTCAGCTTAAGCAACCAATCATTAGCATTCAACTTTTTCACTTTGTCCATTCTTTGAAGCAAAACGTTCCTTTAAGCTGATACCAAAAATAATCTTTATCATAAAAAAAACTGTGTACTTCCTTTGTGGCTGATATTCCAGAAGTCACATCATTCAAGTTCTCGTAGGTTTTGGCAGACGTTAGTGTATTTCAGCAGAAAATTCCAACAGCAATATATTATGTTTAGTAGTATTCGGTGATAAAATAAACGCACATTACAGTTGATGTTTCAGTTTCCAGTTGGGCGGTATTTCGGATAATATAACGTCATACGGTTATTACGTCCAGCATCAAACAATAAAGCGAATTCGTCTAACCTGTTCGTTATGGGCAAATAAGAGAACACTATATTATTTAGAACAGCTGTTATCATTTATTCAATCAACCAATGTTACAAAGGGTAATGATTTTTGTCGGGTGGTGGTGACTGTAAAATCACAAAATAGGGAAGTATATTCAAAAGCACTACACGTAGGCATGCACATCCATGACCTTTATGACTCCACAAAATATTCTTGGCTCGTTCTTGGTTAAAAAACCATTTTTTTTCAACAGTCCAGTACATTCCAATCTGCGTGTAATGTTCTCGTGAATCGTGACCAATTTAGACAGGCACGACTGATCAAAATGTTCACAACTGTTCGTTTAAAAATTAAAATTATTTAAGAATTAAAATTGTTCTGAAGTCCTCTTTAGCATTAATTCAAAATCGATGAGCATATAACCAAGGGGTCCTCAAGTTCGCTCTAACAGCCCATGATGCGAAATAATAGTGAGAACTGTGAAAAGTCACCGGTGTTCAATGTGGCTGCGCTCATAAATTCCAGGTTCGATTTGCCAAAACATTTTTTCCAAGAATGGTGGTGTCCTTAATTTTAATCCATTCGCTCATTATTCAATCCCTATAGTTTTGTATGGTGTTTCTTTCTTGAATAAGTGGCAATTTTCCCAACTTAGCTCACATTTTGTTCCTACGTAATATCGTTTGATGCTCTATAAAAAGTTTCCCCCCCCTAAAAGATCTAGTAAGGAGATAACAGAAATTATGCTGATAAAAATGTATTTGAGACTCGCAATTGGTAAGAAAAGATCATAAATATTACTTTCCATCCAAAGTTGTAGATGAAACTCCACCAAGTATGGTCTCAAAACAGCAAGTGACGTCTCTTGTAGCCAGGAACCGTAGACAAGCTTCCGGAAACACCTCTAAGGCAGTCACAATTGATGACGTGCGAAGCGAGATCACTCTACACTTTGAGGAGCTAATTAATACCAAAGATTGTAACTCAACTAAACTGTTATGTCTTGTTGGTCCCCCCGGAATGCCTGGCGCTAGAGGAGCAAAAGGCTCTCGTGGCAGGAGAGGAAAAAAAGGGTTCAAAGGGGCCAAAGGAAAACGAGGAACCCAGGGTGACGCGAGTTTACCAGGGACGCCAGGACCCATTGAACTAACTGGACCTACTGGACCTAAAGGAGTGAAAGGGGACCGGGGCGAGCAAGGACCGAAAGGCATCCAGGACTACCGGGAAATCCCGGAGAATCGGCATCTGCTCCGAAAGCCATGCTATCTCCCACCACTCAGACGAAAGATGAAGGAGGGAGTGCGAGCTTCTTTTGTTCGGCTGACGGGAATCCGCCTCCAAAAATCCAATGGAGAATCAAGGACAGTAGAGCTTTGATAGGACCTAATTACTCAATGAAAGAGGATGGAACGCTTATAATAAAACGCTTGAGCTACAGTGACGCTGGGACGTACACTTGTATTGCGACAAATATTCTTGGATCACATAGCGTTTCTGGAGACCTGGTAGTCCGGGGTAAGAACACGAACTCACTTTTCACATTGGTTCCTAACCTCCATTCGTTTATCATTTATGGTGTTACTCCTTCAAAACTGATGTGAAAAAATTATACATATCGAAATTCGAGAAGAGTGTCGGATGAAAAAATACTTTTGGTGAGGAAATACACTCATAACTCCAACGTATCTGTAAGCAGCTCCTACTGATTAATTTGTTCCCTTTTCATGTTCATCTTTTGTATAGGACTTCCCGTATTTACTCTGGTGCCTCCAGCGCTTGTCACACCGAAAGAACTTAATACTCTTAGACAAAGTTGTCAAGCTGATGGAATTTCCCCACCTGTTTTAAGCTGGAGGAGATCAGGGATGTCTTTCCCCGGTGGAAAGACTGTTCAGAGTGGGGGAAACCGTACCATTAGCCCCATTGTCCTGTCGATAGTGGATTGTGCAAGTGTATAGCAACAAACAGTATGGGTACCAAGAAAGCCTCTATGAACGTGGTAGTGCAGCAGCAACCGGGTAAAGGTTTGCATATTCTACTTTGTATTTTGTACGTATGATGCACGATCCTCGCAGTAGAGAGCGCTATTTATGCAATAGCGAAAATCAGACCTGAAAAAAATCAGGCCTCTACTGCGAGGATCGTGCATCATACGTATCTAATACCGCAGTTCAAAATATATGAACTTAATATATACATTTTATTTGATTTATCATCACGGGTTTATTACGAATCATCTTAAAGGCCTGCTCCCAGTTGGCTTGTTAGCTCAATTGGTAGAGCGCTGCACTAGTATCGCAGAGGTCAGTGGTTCGAATCCCGTACAGGCCTGATTTTTTTCAGGTCTGATTTTCGCTATTGCATAAATAGCGCTCTCCTCTGCGAGGATCGTGCATCATACGTATCTAATACCGCAGTTCAAAATATATGAACTTCATATATACATTGTATTTGTATTTTGTGTTTGTCGCCCCATATAAGAAAATCTGGATTCCGGATTCCGGATTCCAGGAGTTTTTTGCGTGTGGAATTCGGGATTCGGGTTTTTGAATTCAGAAAGAGTTCTGCCACAAAAATTAATCTGGGATCCAAGTTACTGAAAATCTATTTCAGTATGCAAATTTAGAGGCCCAAAAGAACGTTTTAACACAACTTAAAAGCGTTTAAATCCCAAAGGATATGCTTAGCAAATCAACATGGCCGCTATTTTATCATTTTGGAACACCTCGAAACATGTACACTAATATGGCTGCATTGTCGTCCTAGAAAATATTGACATGCAGTGGTCAAACTTGTATGAGGCAGTCAGTCACGGATAATGGCGGGGTGAAGGCTTAAAATATAGATTGCACAAAACAGGAGTAATATGATAAACGATGAAAAAGGCTATTTTATACCATAACTGAGACACTTTAAATGTACAAAAACACGCTTAATAAAGGTGACCGCCGAACAGAGGCCAAAATTACAATGATTACGGGAGAAAAATTTCAGGGCTGTGACAACCGACTGCTAATACAGGGTGGTCGCTTATTACAGTGCCGCTCTGTTACAGGCGAAGCTAGGTTCGTTGTCACAACAATTGCTGTGACGTCACTTTTGCTAATGAGCGGTTCTGTTACAAAGAGACATGAATTAGGAGTCGATACCAGTACTTTATTTTAAATGATACGCCTATTGAAGTCATTCCTGTAAAATTAAATGCGAAAATAAGGAACAAACCAGAGACTAAAATCTAGAACCTTGTGTGTTTTAGAATCCGGAATCCAGTATCCAGCACTTTGAATCCGGATTGTCCTAGATTACCTTACAAGGAGTGATGTCTGGTTTCTATCTCATCACTAAATTGATAATGACAATGTAAATACACGAGGTCTTCAACTTTCTGATTGTTCTAACGATTCTCTACGCTGCCTACTCTAATTTAAAAGCAAGCACAATATCGGTGTCCTTTCTTGCATGAAACTTGACAATTAACTTATTTAATCTTATCCTAATTTCAGAACAGCTTCTGATGTAATTTGGTATTTAGGTTTTGATTGCAGCTGGCGTAGCCGATATATATACAGAAAAAAATACGGTCAAAGTTGGGGATGGACACATTATCCGACTGCATTTAGCGCAATCAATTTTCCAAACAAGTGGTAAAGTCTTCCTGCAAGGATATCGATTGAGGATAGTTCAACATAAGCCGATGTCAGGCTTGCAAGTCACCATTCGTTTGTATCGCGGAAGTTCTATGATATCAGAAAAGAATTATGGCTCCTATTCCTACGGCCGCTACTCCCACAAACCAGGTGAAGAGGCGTTTGAAGTTTATTTCACACAAGGGATTTCTTTACAAGCCGGAATCTTGTATACTGCAACAGTGGAAATGACTGGTCGGACCTATTATCAGGAGGAGCGCCCGGCATTGAAAAGTGCGGTGTGTTTCGGGACGGATGTAACTGTAACATTCCAAAAATCATTATAACATAACCAAAGTAAAGCGCGCGCTCTGATTGGTCAATTTAGCGTTCCCCATTTGCCCATGGGTGTACGCTGCTGACGTGAGCAAATGCAAAGACTATTTTTCCGCGCGCGCTTGTTTTTTCTGGTCGCGTAAGATTTGTTAAATAAACGGGAACTCTTTAGCTACAATGTATCAATGTTATGTTATAAAACAAATGGTAAACACCACAGCGTACACTATTGAGTTATGGATGCACTTGGGAGGTTTGCTAAGCACTCAAGAAGCTAGAGTCGCTCTCGGCTGTCGCCTCGAGCGACTCTTACGCTTCTTTCGTGCTTAGCAACCTCCCGCGTGCATCCATAACTCAATAGTGTACGCTGTGGTGTTTACCATTTGTTAATTACTGCAATCAACTCACAAATCTTACGTATCAAGTGGAATAGCAGCTGTGATTCTTCGTCTACCGTCGTGCTCTAATTAAACCAGGAGTGCGGCAGAGTTTTAAATGTTAAATGTAATCAGGTTTAATGCATCTATAATAATAGCTCGTAGTGAATTAAACTATTTTTCTTTTGAAAAAAAAGGAAAGAAATTAACCAATAGCCGTATAAAATGGCTAAAATTTTAACCCTCAGCCGTATAAGCCATCACCACTTAGACCCTCATGAGAGTACGTGGGGTTGCTCCCATTCTAGCGCTTCAATCAGAGAGGTGGGTATGACGTGTTTTGTCACTCTGAGCTCTCGAGTTCTCAATCAGGTTGTGACTTCAGCTCTCGATTACATGTCAAGTGGCACTTTTAGCACCAGCGCCACGGCCAAGCAAGCTCTTCTTGTATGAAATATTTCACTTACCACAAGATGTTTTTCTTGAGTATCAATCTCCATTAAATAATTTTAATTGAATTCAAGAGTCATGTGCAGAGTTTCTCCCAAAATACAACAAAGATAGCCCAGCTCTCAGAGACGATAAAAGTGGGTGAATGATGATCTTACAGATCTAAAAAAAATGTTTAAAAGAGTTCTAATCGGCCTAATTTTATCTTCAAAAACCGTTTATTTTCCTCCACTTCGCTAGTGGGAAGCCTATTATTAGTCTCTCTCCTAAGTGATGCAGGAATTTTGTAAAGAATATGCGTTATCAGAATTAATATAACTGTTTTGGAGTATTTAGTGAGCTTAGTTAGTAGCTCAGTTCAATATGACTTAGTTATTCGTTTGTATTTAGAATGTAGTTATTAGAGAATTCAAATTCCAAAGTTTAGGTTTAACTGAGCAGTCGTGATTAGTTTCTAAATTGTGACAATCTAGTCTATCTTCCGTGCATTAATTAGTGGACGTGCTTAGCTTGTCTATTGACCTTGTTTTGGACCCACACGAAAGTTCTTGTTTTAGCTAATACAGTTAAAGGTTGATTGTTTTTCATTTCGAAATTCCCGTGAAATTGTTTGGGTTAGTGTTCTAACAACAAGTTTTTCATGGTTTGATGTCTCAAGGTCAGTCAGCTGACATGCCACCCATATCTATCAGTAGTGAAGATGTGAGTATGTTCTTTAGAGTTTACTAAGTAGAGAAGAGGGGTAGAGAAGAGTGGCGTGTCTCGTAGCACAAGTCAGTGAGAAGTATTCAGTGACAATCAAAGTCAGAGAACCTAGGAGATGAACCAGAATTACACAGAATTAAGTGAAATTGGAAGTAAGTAGAGTTTTTTTACTGCAGAACCGAGTAATAAAGAAAGCAGAAAAAGACCTTCGCTTTGACGAAGGGCTAACGCTCGAAAGATCAGCTTTGAAACTTTTTACAGTGGCCAATTACGTCATCAACTCACTTGATAAAACCAAAATTACCCTGTTACTCCCACCGACGCAGCATCGCAGTTTCTTTAGAAACTTACCCCTTTTACTCAAAAAAGACTGCTCGAGAGTCCTTCGTGCCTCCCGCTTAGAGTAGTGTATTCCGCATTAGTTCCCCCCCCGACAGTAAATTGCGTAACAATATTAGCCTCTCAGGATAAGATTTTAACATTTCGCTGACATTGTCAGTATACCATTGTTTTGCTTGGAGAAGAAAATCTTTCTAAGTCGGCTTAATTTCAGGAATCTTTCTTTTAATCTATCATGCGTTTGCCTCGACCAGTGATTGCTATGACCGGTTGCCTTTGAATCACTCTGCATGCAGACGGTGTATCAATTTGGGTTTGACACTAAACGCAGGCTCGAACAAGCACCTTTACCACATGCAACCAAGTTATTTACCTACGTAGGTATAATAATTTGGAAAGAAAACTTAACATGTTGACGCTCTCTGAGGGTTCTTTCTAAATACCCAGAAACATGAAACGCGCTTTACGCAAGCCTCCTTTCTAAATAAAAAGAAATAAAATGACACTTAATTAGGTCTTAAACGCGCTTTAACATGCACCCCTCAAGAGAATATCGCACGCACGTAAAGAATTTTTTAAAACATTTTCTTCACCTTACTCTTTTCTTGGAATAAATGCACCTTGGCCTAAAACCTACACAGAAACCCATTTCAGCTCGACAAGACTCCTGCCCCTGAACAAGCTCAACTGTCGGATCAGGAATTAAAATGCATAGTAATTCAATGATCCCAAATTTAAAAGCATCAGGAAGGTGATGGTCCGGTTCAGTTTATGACCTTACTAGAATTTTCAGGGGCGTACCTTTCAAAACATCGACCACACGCCGCCTGAGATGGCAAACGTGAGTGCGCGCAGTTACTTGTTTGGGAAGAAAACAGTTCGCTCCGACCTGTTTACGGAACAAAAAATATTGATTTTCTTTCGTAGAAGGCAGAACTAGTCAGCACGAGATGTTGCCCATAAAAGACGGATTTTCACAGTCAGAGCTTGGCATTCAAGGAGGACCAGCGCTGCGGATGCGTCTGACTTGGAATTTTCTATGACATGGAGCGCACACTGTTCTTGATCGTGATTTTTGCCATTCTTGAAATATCTTTAACAGTGAAAGGTAAGGCGGAAGTAGCCTTAGTATCTAGAACCTTATCTTGAATGATCATTAAGAATTAAAATCTATTAATTACGAATCAGTCGTAGCAAAAAAAATTTACAACTACTGCAATGTCGCACTCGATAATCCATGGATATCAAAATCTTTTGTTTTTTTTCAGTGATTGCTGAAATTGTTTATCTCTGTTTTCATTTACAAGCAGTATTGCCGCATACTATTGATTTCTTTGCTCTAACATCTTGTGCATAGGCTTTCTTCTCTTCTGTGTTTGGAAATAATTATAATAAGGAGTTATAAAGAATAATTACGAGTTACTTTAAATGACTTTTCATCACCTAGGAGTCCCACTGCAAACTGGTAAGCTGAACATAACAGAGACCCAGCAGTGATTCGAGCTGCAGGAAATCATGTTCGTTTTCTCAGCACTGTCGATTACCTCGATGTACGAACGTTGCTTTCTCCAGTGCATTCCGTAGATCTGGAACGGTATGTACACAGCATCATGTCAAACTATGTCTCTTTATATTTGACACTTATGAATCCATTGAAAGGTACACAGATTCTTGTTCACTGTGTGAAGAAAATATGAGGAACTAACTAAAATAAACGGGATCTGGAGTTCCCAAACCATTTGGCATCGATGCGAGAGATTGGCATGCCAAAGTTGTGTATCATGCAATATGATCGGTTGTAAAAACCAATCGTTTCGGTTCAACATTTGCCCCCCTATTCTCAATGGAGAACTTCATTGATTCCACTAGGTAATTAATATCGACTTTCTATCCTAAATATTTTTCCTCTTTTAAAAACAATAGGTTCAAGTTCACGTGACAGTAAGCCATGGTGAGCACTTTTCACGTGTCCATTCACCTTCTGCTGTGTGGGTTCAGTCAGTTACTACACGTGGCTTTGAGGTGTGTACGCGTGAGTCAGGCATTGGGTCAAATGGGACAGGAATCATCAACTGGTTGGCTTTCCAAGATCATCCACAAATAACGCGTGATAGTGTTTCTTTTCGTGGAATATGGACGACAGAAACAAAATGTGAAAAAGTCACCTTCTCCAAGGTTGGACACAAAACCCTTTCTGGGTTAGCTCTTAAACTCTTTAACTCCCAGAAGTGATTAACAAGTAATTTCTCCCTACAATGTCCTCACAATATCCAACAACCAGGTATTGAGAATATCAAAGGTATCAGTTAGATGTTGCATTCTTGACCTAACACAAAATTCTTGAAGCTAAGGGGCCCGTTTCTCGAAATTCCCGAAGCCATGTTTAAAAATCAAAATTTAAAGGATAGGAAAGCAGGTTTTGGCACCCAAACCAGTCCTTTTTGTTTCTTTAGCTGATAGTTTCTTTGTATCATTTTCAAAATTTTTGAAATGCCAATCTTAACGGAAAACAGAACACCTTTATGGGCCCGTTAAGTTACTGGGACTGTCGAGAAACAGGCCCCAGGTCTTGGAGTTTAAGGCTTAAAATTTACTTTAAAGCAACCGCTTGTAAAGATTGAAATTCAATCACAGAACTGAATTTAATGTAATTATTTTAAATAGACATGCAAGTTACAAGTTGATATATCTAAGCTGAATAAAAGCTGTCAAAATTAAAATGATTTCAATAAATGTCAAGGTTTCATTTTAATATTGACAGCTTATAGATAGATGATAATGAGCTTTTTTAGTAAAGGCTTTGATGTCATGTCAGTTATTCCATTTAACGCCATGTTTTCAAGCGCCTCTTACAAACGTACTAACATATTACAGGGGTTTCCCGGAAGTCCTTTCGTCTTTGTGTCAGCTAAGTACACACGTGACACAAAGCCAGATGATGCCATGTACGTTTGGTTAGAGAATGTAAATTCCAGAAGTTTCGAGGTGTGCATCCGGGAATTCTTACCCTTTGATGGAAAACACCAAGACACCATTGTGGTACGAATATAAATTCAACTACCTTTTTGTTTCTTTACAACAATAAATGTGCGCAGTCATAAGGATAATGTTCCCTTTCATTTGGTTAAATGTCCAAATTTCTCTCTGTTTTCTTGTCATAACAGACATCTTCGTTACCCACATTCTGTTATTGTCCTAAGTAAGCCATACCCCATACTTTCATCATACAGTTACCTTTTTCATTAGTCATGTGGGCTGCTTAAAGTCTTAAATGTTTATTCTAGCGATTGGTGCTTCTTTAGTATATCAAGCTATTGTCATATCAGAATTGATTTTGGCAGATCGAGACTTAAAATAAAATAAACCGAATCAATCAACTTTATTTTTCGAGGGTAGCACGACTGTATAAAATAATGATAAATTCATGGCCCTTACAGAACCTTGCCTTTTGGTTTTACAGGATTGGTTTGCATTTATTGGCAACGGATCTGAATACAATTTTACACTGTCAGGACAATTAGATTTTCCAAATGTTGGAATCCCCAAAGCTGACGACAACTATGGATTTTGTCAGGTAAGAGTCGGTGAAAGCCTTTTTATGCTATTTTGGTTGTTTTGGTCGTATTTGTTGTTTTTGTTTTCGTTTTTTGTAAGCCTTCACACACTGAGATAATGATCATATAAAATTAATAAGTTTGTAATTATTAGTCTCTTTTTAACTATAGTATCCTCTTTCTTTGACATGATTAGGAGGTGCAGTTTAACACCACCTTTTATGCGTCACCAGCTGTTCTTCTTTCTGTTCATCATTTTTCTAACCGTCAAGTCAGCATGAAAAGCTTCGTTTTACCAGAAAATAACATCGTTACAGCCTGGGTGGAGGTATGATAGACTGATATTTTATAGAAGAAATATTTCGCTGCACATGCTTCATTCCAAGTCTTTAAAGTCCAATGTTACTGAATAGTCAGAGGCAGATTCGCCTGCTGGTAAAACTATGAAACTCTTTTGTCCCTGTCACCAGCCGAAAAAAAAAAACAAATAGTTCCTTATATAGGTCTTCAATGTACTTTACGATATATTTGTGGGCCATCTTCTACCTGCGATTAGAAGAACTAGATGAAAAATATATCCTTATGTTAACTATTCGTCTGCTCCTTTAGGAAATTGGACTAAAATCTACAAGGATATGCGTGAAGGACTTGAGTGGAACAGGAAGTAAGCACGACCCTTTGACTGTCAGTTACATCGTGGTTGGAGGTTTGTTTCTATTTCCTTATCTATTTTCTCCTCACCTTTTTTCTGTTATCCACTGTCAAACACAAACTAGGACTTGATAGCACATCAATATAGCTATCCTTGTAGACTTTCCCCATAACCTACTTTAGAAACGAGAATTTTTCACAGAAACGAATTAGCTTTTACTCAGTCAATGTCGGGAGTGCTGTTCCAAGTCGAAAGACCAGCAACTACAAATATAGCTGGGTCACTTACACTTTGATCAATAAATGATACATATACATACATACATACATACATACATACATACATACATCGCCTTTTATTTCACTTCGGATTTACAAGAGTAACTATATAGCTAATTTCTCCGAGAAAGAGAAAAAATTAAGTAAATAAATAAATAGATAAGTAAATAAAATAAATAAAAACAAATAGTATCGTATATTATATACAGTACATTACACTACCCTTTACATTAAGTAACAACTGCATTTATGTTCGAAGGAAATTTAATATTCGAAAGAATTTTGACATATTTTAGTTCTGAACTCATTCAACGACGTCAATGACCTGAGGTCCTCTGTTAGTTTGTTGCACATGTTTGCAGAATTGTATCTGAAGGAGTGAAGACCATAAGTGGTTGTATTGACTTATGGGATCACAAGTTTCCTTGATCCTCGTAAGTTGTATTTAGTACTCCTCATTTGAAAAAGACCACGTATGTAGCTTCGGCATCGTTTCGAACTGAATTGTCTTAAAAACTGTTTTCATCGTGTCTTGGCACCTAATACTATACAGATCACTGGAGTTAATTTTGCTCCGTAGCTCCTGGTAGTGCAGAGACTTCTCATCTAGAATAATCTTGAGCGCCCTTTTGTTCAGATGCTCTAATTTATTTCCATTTCGAGCCCCGCAAAAGTGCCAAACTGCTGAGCAATATCTAAAATATCGAACAATAAAGGCCTTATAAAGTTTACATTTCACATCTGTCAGTACTATTTTTCGAAAACGGGAAATTACATTTATTTGATTGTTGATCTTTGTACAAATGTTTTTGACATGGCTGTTGAACTGCAGATTCTCGTCAATGTTCACTCCTAAGAGGTCAATGTTATCTTTTACCGGAATATTGGTGTCATTCACTGTAAAATTGAAGGTGTAGTTTGTATTCCCTAAAATCATTGCTTGATATTTGTCAGGATTTGCAATCATGCCATTTATACCAATGATAATTGTTACTACAATTTTACTTTGACAGATTTGAATCCATGCCTTAATGTGCATTGTCCTTCTTTTGGAGTCTGCAAAACTTACAGTGCCAATGAAGCTCGATGTGTTTGTAACGATAACTGTCCTTCCTATAGAGACCCAGTGTGCACCGAAAATGGAACAACATATGAAAACAAATGCCTGTATGAGCTGAGCTACTGCAAGGGACTGGACAACAACACTTTGTATCATCCCGGTAGCTGTGAGGGTAAGGCAATGTAAAACTACAAATAAAATCGGTTACAGTGCAAAATAAACCAATTATAGATACAAGTCTGATATAGATAGGTGTCTTTTATAGTTAGCTCACTTGAGGGGGTCCAACAATAGGATCATCAAGGTTGACAGGTTAAATGATTAAGGAGATGACTAATTTACCAGTTTGAAAACTAGAGTGTTTCCATATTAAGCGCTTTTATTTCATATGTAGGCTTTCCAATTTCACATGGCCGAGTTAAACTTCTTCGAGTTTCTAAATGGTCAGATTCGAACTGCAAGACAGTGGTATTCCCACTATACCGGTTCTATCCGAACAAGGAAGTAGAAGTACAGATCACCCTGAATCACATGAATCTGAATGACTCCGTGACGGTGCACCATGCTATCACATCTTGGACCGAAAATGTCAATACTCAAAATTTTACTGTCTGCGCGATGCAATCTGGAAGAAGTGCAAACAACTTCAATCCACTTGCTACCATTGATTGGATGGCGTACCAAGGAGCACCACCAGAGGGAACGACAGGAAGGCTAAAGATGAAAAAATGGTGGTCGGGGACGAATTGCGCCGATGTGACGTTTCCAAAGGTAGGTTAGAACTTGGGTTATAATCAAACCACGGTATAATATATTAACATATTACATATGAGGAAACTTTTAAGAGATAACAAGTGTCTAGAGTACGTTGTAAACAAAACACATTTCAGAGTGACTCATTTATAAGCAAAACTCGAGTTGGCTATAAAAAATTTATATGTAGCAACATTGGCATGCTGGACAGAGAGGATAGTTTAGAGGGTTCCATTTTGATGTGAACCCAAAGGAACTTGTAATCAACACTTAGAATTCTCTTTCATTCAGTTTACTAATTTAATGTTAATTCTTGTGTAACTAATTAACAAGCGAACTCCCCCTTTTTTTGCATGTATAGGATAAGTTTAAGAATCCACCCGTTGTTCTTGTAACGTCTAATCACCAACGGATTGGGAAGGAATATGATGCTTCTCTGATTTGGGCCGAGGATGTAGCCAAGGACTCGTTCAAAGTTTGTATGCGGGAGCTCCAAAACTTTGATGGACGACATAATGATATAAGCGTGGTAAGTGATGACATACTCCATAACGAAAGTAACAATGCTGTTGACATAAAAGTTAGATCTCCTTAAGTCATGGGTCGGTGGCCATTCTAATAAAAGGGAATCATTGGAACATCAGAACTCCCAGAAACAATAGCCTAGGATGTCTACGATATCTCGTCGGGACGATCCATGGTCATGACTCTGTTGCGATTTTCTTTCAGCAATGGTTGGCGTTCTCTATGCTACACAAGCCGCTGTTTACTGAACATGGCCATGTTTACTTTCCGAACACAAATCCGCCAGCAGATAAAGATAACAAAGCATACTGCGAAGTGAGTTTCGATTTTTTGAAAGATAAAGTCATTTCAATGTAGAAGATTGGCTTCTTTAATTCCCCTTTTGTATTTCACTTTTACTTATAGTTTCTGCAGTTTACACGAAGTTACAACACAACTCCATTAGTTCTGATTTCAGCCAATCACAGCACAACAGCCAGTGGAAACTTGGCGCCTGTTCATAACGGCATTGCCACATGGATCGAGGTAAGAATTCGTTTTCATTCCAACCCAAAGTTTCTCAAAGAAACGGCTTTCTTTATACTTGATCAAAAGTCAAAAGATAAAGTCTCAATGATAGGAAGGAACTTGCTATGTATGCTTTCTAAGCTTCTCCTGTCCCACGTTAAGTTTATCTTTATTTGTGATCTTCTCTGGTGAAACGTGAAATTGAGTTGAGACCCATGTTTAATCTGCCATTCAGATATACATACAAATGTACTTACTTTAAGCAATGCCTTTAGATGCCAGTTTTCGATCAGACATATCTGCCTTCATGGCTCTGATTTTCTATGAAAAAAAAAAGTGATTTATACTCCTGCTCAATCAGTTGTTCGTGAATGTCAAGTCAATTTTCATCCAAATAAATTATTTTTAAGATGTGGAAGCTGTCATTTGTAGGGTTACTTTAAATTTGCAGAATATGAATGCTTCTGGAGGCAGAGTTTGCGTTAAGGAATTGTACGAGACAAGATATGATTCTGTGTCAGTGAGTTATGCGGTTCTTACAGGTTAGTTATCGACTTATAACACTCTGTACTGTTATCAAGAGTTAGTAATATTAGTGTATTTAGAAGACGTAAAGAGAGAGATCTAAATAGCCTAGAAAATGTCAGATATTTAGCAACATTGTTGAAAATGGATGCAATTGTCAGCAAAGCGCCTACATTTCACTTTACAGTTCGCCAGCTTAGCCACACGGCAGATATAATTATTAAATTAATTACGAGTCATTTGGTTTATCAGCATGCTGACGCATGCTGATAACAAATAAGCCGAACAAATAAGCCGAAAATCTCCATAGCTTCAATGCCGGAATTTCAGACCCTTTCGTTATTTAATGATTATTTCTTGAGCCAGTGTTGGATATGAGATGGTAAATAGCGCGTAGCGCTTAGGTGGCCATAACCAATCTTCTATCCAGCAAGTGCGATTAGAACAATTGTTTTATGAAATTCTCCGCCTTTCGTTTAACTTTAAAATTGAAAAACACTTGCTTGAATTAGTTTCCATATAAGGTGATTCGGTAAATGAGCTGATAACCGGAGTTGAGTGAACCAATTAGAACACTGGAAATAAAATATACGGAGTTGAAAGTTATTAATCATTGTTAATTATCTACTCCCTTGAGTTATCAATTACGTTGCTTTATCTGTCTATTATGTAATTTCCGTTTAATTCACAGTCCACCAGAAATATAGCTATGGAAATTCAGCTTTTGAATTTAGACGTTTGGTTATTTGTTTTATCATATAGATATCTGTGATCCTGGATGGAGCTATTTCAATGGATACTGTTACTTTACGAGTCAAACCTGCACGACATGGGCTTCGGCACTTTCAAAATGCAGGCAAGAAAACTCAGTCCTTGTTGATATCAGTAACAACGAAGAAAATGTTTATATACAGCATCGCCATGACGGAGATAAGTCCTGGCTGGGTTTAAATGACAGATCAACAGAGGGTGACTTTACTTGGGCGGATCTAGGACATGGAAACTTTACAGCCTGGGCCAAGAATCAACCAAATAATTACAAAGGAGAAGACTGCGTGCACTCACTTGGTGTGAAATACAGTTATGAATGGAACGACGTACAGTGTAGTGATTGTCATCAGTACACCTGCAAAAAAGGTAAATTGCATAGTCAAGAACTGGGTGATTTTATATTTGCTCTCCTTTTTGTAATTATGCTAAAGTAGTCGCCTTTTTGCCTCATGAATACGCATATAGCTACTAAGGTACGCCTTATTCATCTAGATTTAAACGAATGCCAATCGATGGCAGACCGCTGTCATCAGTTGGCCACCTGTACCAACGAACGAGGTTCATACAAATGCGCTTGTAACCGTGGATATGTTGGAAATGGCTTTGACTGTCATAGGCCCTACAAGGGTAAGTTTCTCACTGTTTCTAACTGTGAATCAAATTTCGGTTGACAGTTGCACGCCTAATAGCCTCATTAGACTCTATACAACTACAATGATATATCTACTCACTAAAACGCCGTCCATAACACGTATCTAAGTTTGCAAGCTTTAACTTTCATCATCAGAATTATGGCTTGAGGCTATGGGGTGAAAAAGGGTAAACGAGCCTCCCTAATCTCGTAAAGCCATCATTTTTTAATGTAATCTTTTGGTCTGTGGTCCGCTGACTGAGATCAGTTGTTTATCAATGCGTTTCGCCGCCAGTTACAATAGTCGCTCTGTTTATTTGTTTGTTTTGTTTTGTTTTCACGTAAACGCGCCATAGTGCACAAATGTCTAAAAATAAACTTATCATAAACTTGTCGATATAAATCTATTTAAAGGTAATGGCTAAGTATGAATTAAAATTGAATAGTATATTTAGAGGATCTATCAATATATGTATAACAAAGAGCAACAACCGCTGCCGTTTTCTGCTTTCATTTTCCTAAAACTTCCTTTGATTTAGTCGAATTCCAATTATATCGAATTATTTAAATGATTACAATGCCAATTTAGTTATTTGCTAAGCTGATAAACTCACCTGAAGTATTTCAAAGTCCCATTAAAAAACCGACAGATGAAATAGACTTGGCTATGAAAGGACTAACATCTCATTTTGTGAAAATAATCATGCACCAACATTCCTTACAGGAACACCTGAACGCCGGTTAGTTCAGAAGTAAAGAAAAAGAAAGCGCGTACAATCTTCATTTACGAGCACAATGAAAATACCTAAAAATATCATTCATAACATTTTCTTCTGTATCTCAAGCTTCATTAACTTCTTTTTAATAGAATATGACTGCTGGCGCAGCAGATACAAAAATCCAAGTGGAAGCTGGAGCCACTCTCCTGGCCTAATTGACGCAATCGATTTCCAAACAAGTAGTGACGTCACGCTGCTAGGATACCGTCTGTGGGGAGTCTATAGCGGTTCAACCACTTTCCAGGTCACCATCCGATTGTATCGTGGAAGCTCCTTGATGGCAGAAAAGATTGGATCCTACCACACCACATTCTCAGTTAAGACGTTTGAAGTTCGTTTTTCTTCAGGGATTTCTCTTCGTGCAGGTGTATCATACACAGCAACATCTAAACTGACCACAGGCGGTAGTTTCACCCATGCTCACTTGAATGGAATGTCGAGTACTTCATGTTCTGGTATCACTGTTACGTTTACGAAATCTTCCAAAGATAGTAACGGATCACGTGTATCCAGGGGCCAAATACCAGCGCTGATCTTCAGTATCCCCTCACAATAATAAATGTGTACTTTTGTTCAGTTTGAGATGTTTCATCCATAACAAGTAGACCTCAATTACTTGCATAGGAAAAACTTAATAACTACATTTTATTAGCGGTACCAACTCAAAAAAGTCAGTAAAATTTCTTGCAGCTAAGTAATAGTGATAAAGAAGGCAGTTTCTGACGGTGAGTTGTATTAAATCGGTACTACTGATGTACGAGTGAGAAGCAGGGCTTTGTCAGATTAAGGTTACTGTCAACAAATCAGGGTAAAAACTGTTCTACGCGCGCTAATTTAGAAGAAACCACGGGGATACTATTTATCCCTGTAAAGCTTAATAAGTATAGATTCTTAAAATAACAACAGTCTCGACAGTTTTTGTTTTAGTAGGCACGTGTAGGTCCTTAAAGACATCATATGACAAATACGTCATGTTCTGGGATTGCGGTTACCTTTAAAACTTCATCAAATAGTTCGAACGGATGTAACTTATCTAGAGGCCAAATACCAGCTCCGATTTTCCGCTCAATATAACGTACATAGTAGAATCAACACTAATTTGATTAAATTGAGGTTTATAGAGCCTGATCCGAGAAGCAGCTGCCCACAATAATTGTTTATATTGAACATTCAGGTGAGGGTAGCTAGTAGCTGTCCCCAAAAACAATCCTTTTCAAATCTATCCTCCCTCAGACAGTTACTCAAGGCAAACAAATATCATTTATTTGCTCAGTAAGGCGCGGATGCAAAAATCGTTCGTTATTAATAAATAAAAACATTTCAATAAGATGAAATCGCCCTTGATACACGAAACTGAAAGATTTTAAATAGAAAAGTATGTGTTGCATTTGCTCAAAAAATCGTGATTTTTCACATCTTTCTTAATTGAGCAATTCAGCGGAACTTTACATATTAACCTTCCGTGGTGAAGTTGTAAGTTGTATAGAAATGTATAAAATATGTTGAAATGTAGGCTTAATTTAATGATCTATTGTTAACTAGCTATGTTTCAGAATAGATTGGTTTTGTTAGAATTACATAATAATGATAATGGATGATGATAAATTTCTCCTTCAGTTGGTTCTTCACTTTAACGGAACTAACACTAAGATAACACAGCTCTCATAATGATTATAAAGCCATATGTGCGGTGGCTCATTGACAGGCCGAAATTCCAGCGAGGGGTGACTAAAAAAATGCTCTTGAGCTATTTACAAGAACCTCTCGAAAACGAGGCTGATACTTCAACGATGTATGTCTGTTTAAAACCGAATCTTATAACCAATAAGTTCACGGCTAAACTGACCAATCAGTTTACACTAACCTGAACTTGGTACACTCGAAGGACAACAACACATCACGTGACTCTGATGATGACTTCTGCTCGGGTTGCCGAAACGTCAGTCACTACTACGGACAACAGTCCTCGTCGGGACTACCCTCAACGGGACGATCAGACTATTCTATCATAGGCCTAAGAGATGAATATAAAAATGTTGGTGAAACAAAATTTTAGCTGTTAAAAATTTCACATAACATTTTTAGATTTTCATCGTAAGGTTTGTTTTGACCTAACACTCTTATCCGTATTTTGGCCTATAGACAAATCAATCGGACAGGTAAGACTTAAAAAAAAAAATAACAATGATAATGAGTGAAAGGAACTCACATGGAGTATCGTATATCCGATATGTCAGAAGCAGTTGGAAAATTACGAATTGCAGTCAGACTTGCATCACTCTGTAAATTTGTCGAAGACGGTCGTAGATTGGAAAAAATGGAAACCTCTAAGAATCATCGCATTCGAGATTTCCTTCCTCACATAAGGCCTTCGTATTTATCCGTCTTGTTGGTGTTTATTTCTGGGATTTTATTCCTCCGGAATGACGCAACAAATCATCGTGTGTTCCTGCTGGAACAAAAGATCATCAGTCTCACAAAGGATTGCAACCCTCCCGAGATAAAAGCTACACAAAGTGAGGAGATGGTCGTAACACTTAGCGGCGAAAAGGGTAAACAACGTGGAATGTCTCCGCCGCAGTATCTTGAATTCTCCTTTTCAACAGGTTGGTTTATAAAATTGCTTTCAGTATCAGTTGTGTGTGGCTCTTAAGTCACCACTTTGAATCGAGAAATGATCCAGCCGGATAAGGGATGCAAGTGAAAAAAATATGTTGCCAGCGATGTTTTTGGCCTCTACGTATTTCTCGTGAGCGGAAATATCCAGCCAACCCGAACTCAAAAGAGATGAATTTTTTTTAAGATTCAGGGCATTCAATATTTTAAGTGACATGACCTGTGTCAAATTTTTTAGTTAGAATTTCGGGAACGTCAGGATTTAGCTCCAAATAGTTTTTTATTTTTTTGTCGGGAATGATCTTTTAAACCACGCTACATTCGCTGACTTCAGATTCAAAGAAAGGAAATATTTTTTTTAAGTAATTGACAGTGTCGCACGAGCAGGTCATACCGAATATCTTCGGATTTCATTGTAGCTAGTTTCCGTATTTTCTGTCTTGTTGGTAATTTCAACACATAACCTGATGATCTCAAACAGCGAAATAACATCTGTCAAAAGCGTCTGACAAAGAAGAGGGGGTTTTGTATTCACAAGTTCTCGAAGGAAAGGCTATTCATAGCTATGCTAAAAAGCAATCGCCTATGCTACACTAGAAAAACTCCCTAACATCTTAGATTAAATTTGAATAGAGAATTTCATGGTTTGGACGTGATTTTTTGAAAATTGTGGAATGTTACTTACGTAATATCAGCGGACACTCTCAAGTTTTCAGTAGTCTGGCCATAGTCCCCCACAAAGTATTGTAAAGCGCATTCCAAGAAAACATTGGTATAGATGATGCGCTATATATCAATGCAAAATGCGTTTAAATATCGATTCACGGTGGTCAATGCCCGCAAGCGAAATACTTGATGGATCGAAAATAATGACTCTGAAAGTTGGTATGAATTAAAGACTTAAGTTACGTATGACTTATCGTGGAGATTAAGTCCAGGATACCAGGTTCTCGTACAGAAATATTTCACAATCATCAATTTTGTTCTTTGTTGAGTTTAGAGTCCTATGAAGAGTCTTCCAAAGGTTCTGCTCAAAGATTTCGTAGAAGTACCACAGAAAATAATACGGTGGGACTCGCTATTGAAGATTTACGTCGCGAGATTGCCTTCCAGTTAGGACTTTTCCTTCCAAGTGAATACTGCCGATCAAATGAGAAGGTATGTCCCGCTGGTTCCCCCGGACGTCCTGGTCCAAAAGGTCCAAAAGGACCTCGTGGGAGGAGGGGGCCGAAGGGGACAAGAGGAAAAAAGGGAATTCGAGGTGATATTGGCTTACCTGGAATTCACGGCAAGCAAGGAATGATAGGACCCACTGGACCAAGAGGAGTGAAAGGGGAATGGGGCGAGCCGGGACCGAAAGGAGATGTTGGAATTCCTGGGAATCGAGGAATACCGGGAGCAATGGGTAGTCCTGGACCAAGAGGAGAGAAAGGAGAGAAGGGAGATTCTGGTGAGATGGGAATTCCTGGTCCCCCCGGTATTCCCGGTCGAACGGTTTCTGCGCCGGAAGCAGTTTTATTTCCATTCACAACTGTAATCAACGAAGGAGAAAGCGTGAGCTTTAATTGCACGGTTAGTGGAAATCCAGCACCCAAAGTAACATGGAAATTTGAGGGCAAAAGACTATATTCGGGATTAAAGTATACCATAGACAAAGAATTACTGATCATCAACGAGCTGAAGTTCAATGATACTGGTGTTTACTCTTGCGTTGCAGCTAGTGCCTTGGGATTCGATGAGGCATTTGCAAATCTCACGGTACGAGGTAAGGCGACTTTCATAAACTCTTCTTTCTAACTTCTTTTTGTAAAATGAGAAAGTTACAGAGTAACTTGACTTTTGAAGGTTCATCACCATAAAACTTAGTTGCTATCGGTACAAAGCGCTTCTATTTACTACTCCTTCACTTAAAGGAGAAAGTACTCTGCCTTAATAAACGAGTTAAGCGACAAACCATTGGGCCGCTTTCCCAGTCAAAATTTCCGAACTTTTAGTTTGACTCTCTTTTCTTTTAGCGGCACCAATCTTCACCAAGAAACCTCCAGCAGTTACTATGCCACTTGAAAGCATGGATTTTTTTGAAACATGCCAGGCTGAAGGTTTCCCTCGTCCAGTTTCAAACTGGACACGACTTCTTCAGCCACTACCTCCCAGAAGGACCGAAGCAAAGGAAGGAGATCTCACCATTAAAAACCTGAGTACCACTGACAGTGGACTATATGAGTGTACAGTGACAAACACCATGGGTGTTAAGAGGGCCAGGATGAATTTGGTTGTACAAAAAGGAGGTTAGTCTTGTTCATCTGAAATAGACTCATTCTCTCGAGGAGGGGAACAGTAAGACTGTTTTTGTTTGCTCCAGTCTCGTCTGGGAAGGGGGTAGGCGTCTGTGTTGCAGCGTCGGTTGGGGTTATGATGAGGTAATTTGATTTTATCATTTAAGTTGATAATGTGAATACGGCCAACATAAAAATATTCTAAAGCTGACATTTCGAACATTAATATCTCTGTTTTAAAAATTTCGTATTTTCTTGAACTCCCCAATCATTTAATTCACTATTATGACAAAACGACAAGTCAATTCTTATTCTAATAAAATAGAGGGCAAAATTACTGAATGCTAATTGGTTAATGAAGAGGGTATTTTTTTTTCTTAATTTTGCTTGAGAAGAGGGCAAAATTACTAGCTCATGATTAGTACTCAGGTTGCCTAGCAACAGCTTATGCTATCGAAAAGTTGTTGCTGAAGATTTTCTGTAACAATGGCGTGATAGTTGACGAGGAATATATAGAAGAATTAAAAGATAAGAGTGGAAACGAAAACACGAGTAAAAGCACGGAGTACTGGAAGAACGTTTTTAAAAAGTGGGCGAATGAAAGAAACTTCCAAGCAAATTTAGAACAGTACGAGAGCGATGTCCTCAATCGAACACTGGCGCAGTTTTATGCCGAGTTACGAAAAGAAAACGGGGATGAATTTAACGTTTTAACCTTGTTTAAAAAAGCACTAACTTTGTATTTTCAAAGTTGAAAGTTTGTTAGTAGGCCTGGTTGTCAATGACCTGGTATCTTTGTGCAAAAATAAAATTTCATTCAGCTCATTCGTGTCTGTCAACTTTAAATGGCTTCCTTTGATTGATTACTGAAGAGTAATTTTCCCCTCAATTTCATTAACAAGTAATCTCAATGGGTCCTCGTAAAATTAAAGAATAATATCACTTGTGTTTTCAGCAACTTCTGAAAACACAAGTGATATTAATTCTTAATTTTACACGGTCCCATGCGATTAGCTATCCAAATTCCTATCACGAACCGATTTCTGGCCCCATATTTATGTAACATAAATCAGAAAACAAAGTGACAACGGCCTTGGTTTATTTCTCTCTACTTTTCTCGAAGTGCATTGTAGCTGCTGGCGTTCAAGTGAAAATTATCCAAGAGTTCGACGTTCCTATGGAAGAAGTTCTTCTGTTGATGCCTTCGATTTTCAGACGAGTGGAAATATAATATTGCGCGGCTATCATCTGTGGAAAGATGACAGATTGTTTCCTAATCACACCTTCACCATCGAGCTCTACCAAGGAAACACAACTGTGGCCCAGAAGTTTCATACTTATGATACAAGATTTTCGCGTAAGAAAACATTTGAGGTGTATTTTGCAAAAGGAATCCTTTTGCAGCCAGGTTTAAACTATACTGCTGCAATAAGAATGAACGGAAGAAAGTATAGCGTGGCAGTAAATAGCGCCATTAAAAACAATTTCTGTTCTGGAGCTAATGTCAATTTTAGAAAGTCCTCTTTTGGGGGACCATTTTCAAGTTCTGATGTGCGTCAAATACCGGCTCTTATCTTTCTCAGTTTAAAATGCTGAATGAAAAATCTGTTTTGGTATTTTTCGAAGTAAATTAAAAGTAGCGGGCTTCTATTATATCATTTGTAGTAGTTGTTTTCATAACATTGTCTAGATGTGACACAGATGCATTTTTTTTTTGACAACTAGGATAAATAATTTTGAAAATAGTTCGCCGAGACAAATGGCAAGAGTATATTTCATGAGACATTTTAATCTGAGGGCTTTAGGAACCGCTGAAATTGTCTTTTAATCAAAGCCTACAAAGTATCCATGCAGTCTTGAAAACGAAGTAACGAGTCTTTTTAACAAATGGTAAACACCACAGCGTACACTATTTAGTTATGGATGCACGCGGGAGGTTGCTAAGCACGAGAAAAGCGTAAGGGTCGCTCGAGGCGATAGCCGAGAGCGACTCTAGCTTCTTGAGTGCTTAGCAAACCTCCCAAGTGCATCCATAACTCAATAGTGTACGCTGTGGTGTTTACCATTTGTTTTATAACATAACATCAACACATTGTAGCTAAAGAGTTCCCTTTTATTTGAAAAATCTATCTTACGTGACCACAAAAAACAAGCGCGCGCGGAAAAATAGTCTTTGCATTTGCTCACTTCAGCAGCGTACACCCATGGGCGGACGCTAAATTGACCAATCAGAGCGCGCGCTTTACTTTGGTTATGTTACAATAAGAGATGTAACACGATGGCCTCTTAATGGCTAGCGCAGTGGATCGGACCGTGGATCTAGGGGTTCTGTTCTTGGATCAGACACTTAACTCTTACAATACTAACCACCAAATTGGAGGTTTCATGAAGATATAATTATTAAGAGAAGTTGCCACCTGACGCTACGTACGTAAATGTGAAAGTAGCAGAGTTAAATGCTAAGTTATAATTACCGTTGCAAAGGTAGTCATAGGTTTCTGGAACTTGACAAACGATTTAAGTCAACAGACCAGTTATAAAAAGTTTTAGTCTTAGGTAAAACTGGTAGAAATTAGGTCGAATCGATGAGCAGGATACTGGTGCTATAACAGTTTAAATTTTTGGCGAAACAGGTAGAGAAAGAAAGAACGACCGTCCTTGTAAAGAGGATTTCCTCGCCTCTTGCTGGAAGGGTATCTGGTTGTTAGGTCCTGAAAAGAAAAATAAATAGTTTATTTTTGCTGTCTGGGGTTTGGGTCTCAGATCTTTCCTCTTTTTTGCCCTTGTCGTATCGGTAGAAGAAAACGAAAGAAAACTTCGAAAAGCAGCGCAATTCACGATCCATTCTAACAAAATGAGTGCAATAGAAGTCTGCCTTTTTACACAGAGAAACAAGAAGGCCGTTCTCAGTTTGGTAGTTGCAGAAGCACACTTATACATGGAAACAAATAAGGAGCAGAGTCAAGAAACAAGAAAGCCGTTCTCAGTTTGGTAGTTGCAGAAGCACACTTATACATGGAAACAAATAAGGAGCAGAGTCCAGGATTAAACCTAAATTATTCTAGATTAAAATGATTTCAGATTGCCTTTCATTCCTGCTGCACTGGAACGGCTGTCAAGTCTGAAGTACTGAGGATTGACAGTGCTTAGTTGCCCGTGGACTGCTGTTTGGTTTGACTCTGCCTGTAAACTGCACCCAGTAAACATAGATGGACCTTCACAATTGGCTGTTATGTTTGAATTTTTCGCTGCAATGATATGCTGTTGATTTATAATCAGAACAATAATTTTGAATTTTTTTATTCAGGATGAAAATACCAGTTTGATATCATTTATTCTTAGATACCGAGGTTACCTTATTTACCACACTCTCTTCTCCAGACGTGTCATTTCCTCGCTTGATTCTGCAAAAAAATGGCAGAGAGGAAAGTACATACCAAAACAGAAGAAAACACTGAGGGAAGACGAAATTCTCCATGCGCTAAATGAACCCCATGCGCGAAATGAACTCGACATGTGTCGTTCCGACTAGAAAATCAGCCAGCTTGCTCTCTGTTTTTCTTAATTTATCTTATTCCTTCACTTTTCCTTGTTTATGTCCCACCTTTCTAGTTCTTCTTCCAGCTGTTTTTCGGATTCTTTAAGGTCGTCTTTTGATTTCTGATTCATTTCTTCAAAAACTCTCCTAAAATAAAATCACATGCCTGATTTAATTTATTGAATGATGAATTACATTAGTTATCTGTTCGCCTCTACTTACCCCTTGAAGAAGGCGTACTGGACACAAAGAGAGTTTGAGAACTTACATTTTTCATTACTGTGGGAATACGGCTTTCGGTATAGTGAGAAGAGCAAACGATGGTACTGGCTCTTGACCGGCGTAAAAGGTAGCTGAGAGTACTTACAAAGCGATTTGCAATTCTTCGGGGGTAATATCAAACTCCAGCTTACAATTGAGCTCATCTGAAAGAAAAAGCTTGATCAATGAGTCAGAACTCGTAAAATTAGATACTAAAAATGTTTTGAGTTCGCTGCAAGTGACATGATATGTACCACTAACCTTTTGCTTTCTTATTTTCCATCTGCAGCTGGTTGAACTTGTCAGTCAAATCTTTCAACACTTTGTCCTCTTTAAAAACTAATTTAACGAATGAAAACAGCTGTAAGAGTACACGGGCTAACAGGCAAGATGGAGAAAATCATCCCAGCCCGTAAAAAAGGAAGCCCACAGGATTTTCAAGTTCTGGGTAGCTTATTATCTCGATCGACGAAGAAAGTTTCTCAGTTTACTGGGAGAGACATATTCAAATATCTTTTCTTGAATGGACTCACCTTCTGCTTTAGTCTCATCAGCTTTCCTGCTCCACTGTTCCAATTCGTTCCTTACATTTTCCTCTGTCTAACAAGCAAAACCAACCACCAAATGATATATTTAGATATAGTCACGGTTTTAATAGTTTTTAGGCTAACTCAGCTCACTAAGAATGTTTGTATCAACTAAATCCAGCTTTAATCTAAACTGCGGTGTATGGTAGAGCTCGACATGATCTCGTGCCCCGGCTGAACCATTTTTATCTGCACGCTATGCACGAATCAGTAACGAAGTCTGGCTTCCCTTTTATGATCATGAGTAGCTTTCGTGTATCTGATGA